GTAGTTCGCTCGTCTTCTGGATCGGCGTGACCCCGCGGCCAGCATGGCTGGAAGTGTTGACCGAGTTCAGACGAAACTTGCGAATATCTTTAAAAAGACACTGACGCAATAACACATTTTTTTTTTAAATTTTTTGCCAGGCGATACATTATGGTGTCAGAAGACTACCCAATGATTATTTTGCTACAGTGTCACGTATATTGTAATAAAGTAAAAAAAAAAATGCAACTGCTCGAAACTGAAACCGAAACTGAGCCGGGGGAAGAAATAGAGGAGAAAGTTACCAAAAATTGCGTAGCTGTGCAACTTTTTTTTTTTTTTTTCATTCACCGTATTTTGGGCATTTTAGAAGCCACAAAGTATGGGTATCGTATTTTCTGTCTATTTTTAGTGTTTAGTGTGTGCCTTCAATGACCCACGACTTTGATTATATTTAGTGGTTGTGTCTAAACCATAGAAAATGACACGTGACCACGGAGAAGAGAGTGAGCGCGACTCAAACTGGCCGGTTCTCGATCGACGGTTTTCGGGTGGAAGGAAAACTAATTCCAAAACGGAAATTGTGTTCTGAATAGTTGAAACCTCATATATCATGTACAAATAAAACTCTTGGCCAGATTAAATATCCTGTCAGTATCCCTTTATCTGCAACAATCGCGCAGCCATTACGTGGTACACTAACCTTCGCACTGTGTGTGAATGCGAGTTAATGATTGTGTTAACTCGCATTGACCTAACTTTCTCGTCAACAATAATGTGTTGACATTTGACAAGTCCCATGGGCGAGATCTGCCCTCGCGTGAACATAATTGTTTATCCAAACGTAATATCTCTGAATACTAACACATTCATTCTTTGTTTCGAATTAAACTTCAAGAATCTGGAAAAGACGCGCTTTGATCTTTGGACTTTCGCAGTCATAGTAAAGCGCCACCTCAATCGCTAATAGTGAGATTTTGAGAACAATTTGAGACTCCTGTCTGTGTCTCCCCGTGACTAACTTTTTTGGATAGTCCGATGCCGAATTCAAAATCTGCGATGATTCACCTAATGCACAGCAAGTTCCACACAGAAAACATTTAAACGCATTTCATGCTTAAAAAAAAGAAAAGGAACGCCAGAAAAATTTAGAAACACTAAAAAAATTAAAAAATGGCGAAAAAAAAAACAAAAAAAAAACAGCGCGTTTGTTTGCAAATAAAGAGCACTGATTAGTTTTCTCTTGATGTTACGTGTCACGCACTTCACTCAACGGGCGTGCCGACAAGGGAGAACGAACTGCGTCGTCTCCTATCTCATCAGTCCGAATTGCTTTTGGTCGTCATTTTGCTCTCGCTAAGCGTGATTGCAGGATTCGGTTTGGATTCGCGATGCTGGAGCACTGCGCTTGATCTGTTCTGAAGTCACAAGCCAAGGGCACTCGATAAAGGTAGGTCGAAGTACTTCTGTTTACTATATGTATTCATTATCTGCGGATCGAGGAAGTGCTTTCAGTTTGAGAGCGCTCTCGACCCCACAAAGCGCACGCCGTACTTCATTCTTTTTGGCACTTTGGGTGCTGATTTTGGTATGGGGCACAAATGACGTAAGATTTGATTGCGTGCGGTTACCTCATAAAAGAGAGCGAAATGTCAAATTTAATTATGGCATGTACTTTTTTTTGCAGGCCCTGGCAGGTGCCGGTTGATTATATTAGAGACTTTTAGTCGACTGCACATTGGACTTTCGGGCTGCTAGCGGAAGCTCGTTCCGTCACCTTGAAGCATAGGGTGAGCACGCGCCCGCTGGGACCCTATTCCACAGCGTACGGTATGCTACAACTTTCTAATATTGCCCTGGTCAGTTACCTACAGATCATGTTTTGGGTGAACCATTACAGCACTCACGCAGTCTACTTGTCATTTTATTATGAGTACGTTATATCTCGTATGTTTGTTGACCGATTCGGTATTTCACAAGACCAGTGTTACTCATAATTCATATCGTTCGCGAACAGGCATGAGCAGGCAAAAAAGCTGTCGGTGCCCAAACAAAGGGTGCCTGAACCATGACAGGTTTTAACAGACGTCACAGTGTCTAGGTCATTGTCGACTCAAGTGCAGCCTTCGGAATTCGGCCTTACCTTGGATTCTGTGGTTTAGAAAATTCGACTCTGGTCATCATTGAATGTGATATAAGTACGTATACACGGCAATGACGCTACCTTTGACTTGAACTGCAACGTTTTGTTTCTGAGATTGCAGCATATTGGGCAACTAGTATATCTCAGCGAGGAATATTTCTTCAGTGAGGCGCAATTTGTGAGGTACAACTTTTAGTCCAAAAGCACTAAAAGCAAGAGTGCAAAATTTAGCGGCTTGGACCAAACGTAAATGATTCACTTTTACTCCAGGGTCTAAATGCAACGGTGGGACAATTTAAACGCAGGGTCTAAATGCAAGGGAGCGAAATTTAGTCCAAGGTGTCTCAATGCAAGGACGTAAAATTTTGTCCCAAAGGTCTGCTTTATCTTTACTCAGGTACCCACTTCGCAATCAAGCATTACAGTGGGGGGGACAAACAATATACAGACACAAAAAAACGCACACATTCAGTGCGTGAAAACAAAGGCGTCATTGTAAGCTATTGAGACAACGCGTGATGAAAGGGATTTCCAATCGCGCGCGGTCTCTTCGAATGCAAGGGCACAAAGGTTAGTCCTAAGGACCGAATTTGAGGGACTGGAGGGAGGAGCGCAAAAGTTGCTCCCGTGCCCGTTAGTAACCCAGGAGACGAATGGTTGTGACAACGGATTTGCTCCCCGAAGAGACTATAAGTCCCACATCCCTCTTTTTTTTTAGAGTGTAGATACAGCGTCTTAGCGATGTTGTGCTACTCATCTGCACACTGTGCGCCCCTGCGCACTGGCCACCTTTTGGCGACACGATATTCGTAACAATGATGTTTTGTGGTTAGATGTGCGTTTTACGGCCGCATATCTTTGAATGCGCTGCCTTGGAACATTATGACGAACGGCCACGATACAAACTTTTAAAATATGTACCCCACACCCTGACAAAGGCAGTCAGAACTAGGAGTGTATTGTGTGTTGCTTCATGGTCATATTGCACGAATTAACCTAGAGTGCGTTGTTTGTCTCCACAGCGGGATCCCCATCCTGCGTAGCGTCTCCGAAAGAAAACGATACCAAAACAACCACTCGAGCGGGAGTCAAACGCAAAGTTCATAGTTCTTGATGTCGCACTCCCAGCTTTGATCCTGCGATTTCGCGCCTCGCTGTTGGTCCAGAAGCATGCTCCTTTCTTTGTTTCACGCCTCCTCCACACTCTCCCAGCAGATGTGCATGAGCGCTCGCTGCCTTGTAATGACATTGCAAACTCGTTTTAAAGCGCATGCGGACAGCGGTTCGAAAAGGGACGCTTCCACGCTTTCTTTAATGCGTTTTTCTACTGGCGAATTCTCCTTTAAAACTACAGCATACGAAGATGTGTTACACAAATCTGAGTTACAGGGAACTGCAAGGAGCCAACCATAGAACACATTTAAGAGCTTCGTCAAGCGTTGGTCCTTCACTTTGAAATCAAATAGAGCACAGACGTTTTACGAAGCAAACACAATTAGGGACGAATTATACTGTCCTTTTCCTTGCGACTTGCATGTACCGTATTTTCCGGGCTCTAGTCTGCGGACTATAAGTGTTTAAAATATAACATTTTAGGCTGTGCTGTTTATCTACGCGTGCAGACTAGGGAGACATTTTGTTTTTCAAGATCGTTCACTATGACGAGGGGTGACAGATTTTGTAAATGAAAGAGCAGGTTAATGATGATTTAGGAATAATACAAGCTTCTTTGTGAGGTAATGAAGCAGACATTTGTCAAGGTGTGCGCTCTATGAGAAGTTTTTCCTGTCGACTAAGCACAAGGCGCGGACTGCGCACGACCTACAAGCTATGCACCGGGTGCGGGCTATCTCAAAAAAGCACTTTTTTTTGGCCAAAATTAGCTTCTGCGGGCCACAGCCCGGAAAATACGGTAGTAAAACTTACGACAGTCTCACTTGAAGGGATGCTATGCTGATAATAAGACCATAGGAATACAACAAAATCGCTTTACGTTTTAAAATTGTATCCAAACGGCATTCACAACAATGTCCGTTTTTTAAAAAAAAGAAATCCCATAAAAAAAATATGTTAGAGACTTTTATGTTTTTTCTATAAATTGATGGAAAGCGACCGCGTGCCAGAGTCTTCCGCTGAGGCAGTTACTGACCGACTCCGCCTTCATTCAATTTTGACGCATTCGGTTCGCTGACAAATCCATTGAAGCTACACGGCTTTTCGCAAATTGAATTGTGTCTCTTTTGTGGTTATTTTCGTGTGATGTAACATCGGAGGTATGAATTACTCCGAATTTTCGAAACCACTTACTAGAAACGTAGGTTAGGTGTTCAAATTGTGAATTATAGCACGTACGATTCTCTCCATTTGGTAAAAAACCTTATAATTTTCCACAATTTTCAGACAACAGTTCCTTAATGACTTACTTTGAATTCACTATATCTTACTTCGAGACTATTGAGTCATGCCAACGGGTAATTCGATTTTTCGAACATATGTTATTTATTATATTGCACCACGCTTTATATATTCAGTATCGGAAGTCACTGCATAGTACGACTATTATTGTAAAGTATTCACTTTTGGAACTTGCTTATTTCAAAGTTTTCTGAATATCTTAATTACTAACAGCCTTGACCGGATTAAGATAAAAACACCTGTACGAGAAGTGCCTCAGACAAAATAGCCATACTGCAGCCATGAGTGAAACATTCCACTTAACTCCGTACTTGCGCAAAAAACAGAGACGTTCGCATATAAGTGAAGCATGGTTTCCGTCAGCGTTGTTGTTTATAGAAACTTCTCAACTTCAGAGCAGATGTATACTATCACGTGAAAGGCTAAAACAAAATTGCTCAAGTGAATGAAAAAACAAACTTACCTTCAGCCATCATGCGGCACTGAACCGTGATCCAGATAGCCAGAACCAGCGCCAGCCGCGTATTCCAAGGTTCAATGTTCGACAACACTCCCCTCCTCGCCACGACGCCGTCATGGCACACAGTCGAAACGGCGGTGCACATCACTTCAGAATAAACAAACTTCACCTGCGGCCACCTATTCTCCGATTCTATAAGCCCAAACAAAGATAACGACAACTACGACAACCACCAGGAGTGGCGGGCTCGAACCCTTAGACGCGAACTTCGAGGCGGCGCAGCGCGGGATTCCCTCGGTGCTCTCGCCGCGAGCCGCGCGCGACGAGTGCGCGCAGCGAGTTTGCTCCGAGCGTGGTGGCACAACTCGGCGGCGTCGCCGTAGCTCGTCGCGCGGCCGGCTGGGGGAGTCTGAGGCCGGCGTCCGCTGTTGGTGGATCGCGGTCCGTATCGACGCTGCCGGCAGCATCTGCAGTCTCGACCCCTCGACTGAAACCCACGGCGAGAGGGGGCGGATCGGGGGGAAAGAGGTTCCGCCACGCCGAGGCCCGTGGTGCCGGGTGCCATCGACGTAGTTTCGCGTCCTGGAAACAGTTTTTGGGATGCGCTTCCAACCAGCGGCATGCTTCGGTGAGGACGATGCTCGAGGAGGAATATTCGTGAGAGGAACCGGATCTGCTGCGTTTCATGGGCGGTACTTTTCAGGCTTACTTGTCCTTTTTTCCGAAAAAGCGGCTCCGTTGTGCGCGAAAGTTGGCCAAAAAAATACGTCAATAAGCGCGCTCCGCTCAATCGTATGCTTAAGGACGACGCCGCCCTCGGCGTCGTGTTTCAGGTCGTCCTAGACGTCGTCCTATAGGTGTCGTCCATGAGGTCCTCCTAGACGGCGTCCTCTAGGCGTCGTTCTCGACGTCGTCCTTAGGGTCATCCTACAGGTCGTCCTAGATGTCGTTTATGAGGTCGTCCAAGAAGTCGTCCTTGACGCCGTCCTTGACCTCGTCCTCGACGTCGGCCTAGAGGTCGTCCTAAACGCCGTACTTGGCGTCGATCTCTAGGACCTCGTCCTCGTCGTCGCGCTATATGTCGTCCTAAATTTAATACTTTTATATATAACTGGAAAAGATTTCTCCCGCCGGGACTATAATGCTTTCGCCTTCCTACACGTAAGCAGTCTTAAGTGTCCTTCTGCAATCGTTTTTGTTTCTTTACAACTTGACGCAACAGAAAGCCGACCGCGTGCCCGAATCTTCCTCTGAGGCTGTCATTGTGCGTTAAATATGCAGCAAAAAGTTCTTTTTGTTTTGTTTTTGTTTTCACACATGACCTGCCGCATTACTGTAAGGAATAGCAGATACAAATCAGGCGACAACGTTCTCACCAAAAACAAATTATCTAAAAATTAGCTCCATAATAATCCTCTTCAAACAAGGACACGAGACGTGATCTAGGTAGTCGCAACTTAGCTATAACTCAATTATCCCTTAAATATTTTATGAACCCTAAGATGGACGTACTGCTTTCTGGTTTAGAGAATAAAAGCGCTAAAAAAATAACGGACAAGTGAAAGAAACCAACATCAGAGAGCGCTCTCTGGTGTTGGTCTCTTTCACTTGTCCGGTGTTTTTTAGCGCTTATAACCTCTAAACTATGAATCGCCAACTAGGCCAAGTGCATGCCCTTCTAGCGCTTCCTACTTGCCTTAGCCGCAGCTGACGCTACGATTCGGCTGAACCGATCCGCGCTAAGTCTAAGCGCAATCACACTGCGTGACTGTTTTAGGCGGTTATAGCAGACGGCCAATGGTGATCAGCACCATGACGAGACACTTTCGGCAGTGCTTTATTGACTCCAGTGAGTCGTAGCGTCGGGGTTGCGATCATACTTAAAGAGAAGCATGCTTCAGAAGGGCATCACACCTTAGGCGATCATCTGCACCATTCGCTGATTCCCACTCATGACGAAATGAAAATATTGTGATTTCTTAAGCCCAATACCTTCTACCGGGTGGCGATGCTGCCTGTTATTTTGGAGCTCTCTTAAAATTGTAGCAATCGCGGTAATTATAACTTCTCACGGAATCGCCACATCTATGATGGCATCCTCAGGGACTCTCACGTTGGTTGTCATCTAAAGTACTCGGAACGCAGGAATCGTGTTCACGAAAAGAAGTAAACAAATGACAAGCTAACGGTCTAATGTAGTTATAAAAGTGCACCATACCTGATTACCGAGCATGGCGTTAATTGACTCAAAATCATAGAGCAAATTACTTTCTTTTGTCCCAACATTATCACTGCTATCTAATTTTTATATTGATTTGTAAATAGTGCATAGTGCGTATCACTGTGCTCAACAGGGAAATGAGCCTGTTACATTTTTTAAGATAAAGAAGTGAACCTTGATTCGTGTTAACTGTCATTTTCGAGACTGGAAATGTCTTGTGCTAGTACAGTTCCCTTCGCAATACAGATAGGGTGGGCGGGTGTCTATAAGGATGCATTAGTTCCAGTTACTTTTCTGTCTAATTACCGCTTATTGAAAGAACTCTAAACTTCGAGCAAAATTATGTACTTCTCCTATATAGTTTTATGCTCTGCACCCTCTTTCTTACCTTAGCTCTATCATTTGTATTCCTGTCGTGCCCCCAAGCCTACTGCACTTATAATTACTTGCGAAGTAAAAAAAGGAATTGCGCAAATTTTTCTAGACTTATTTACAAAAAGAAACTATTTTTTTCCTTTTTGTTGCAATCTTTAGCTTTCATTATATAAAATTCCCTTCACACAGTTATAAAGTCAAATCATAAAGGCTATATTTTTTAATGCGCTACCTCATTAAGTGAATAAAATTTACAGGACTAAGGCGATCACTAATATATGTTGTAGAATAATGACCGCATAAAGAAATCAGTATAAGGCTTGAAATAAAATTTCTCACAAATTGCCTTAGATAAAGCATTTATCGTGCTCATGTATCGCAAGTGTAGGTTTCTGAAGAAGCAAATGCAGGAAAAGTAAATAGTATTATTGTCTTGCACCGAAAGATGAGAAGAAAAGCAAACACATCTGGTTGGCTTTGTTACTCACCGAAGATACCACATTGACAAAAAAAAAACAAGAAAAAGAAAAAAAAAACTTCAAGCTTCAAGATGAACGCCCTAAAAAAAATCCAGCAGATTTAAGATAGTCACCAATGGTATCACAAGGAGAAAAAAACTTTAGAGCTTCTTCGAGAGGAACACTATAGAGCAGATCAGTGAGGTCTGAGCATGTGTGGTAGTACTTTGAGTAGCAGCTTCAACCAGACTGTAAGTTTCCGTTTTTCTTCAGATTCATAAGAGTATCAAGTATTTTCATTTCTTTTTTTTTCTAGAAAACTAGGTTTACGAAATTTGAGTATGAAGAAGGCACGACCTGAACAGACACGCCTTTGGGAACGTTTGACAGCAATCATTTCCTGGGTTTACTTGAGGTATTGTTCTTGCTACGGCTGAACCCGGTAGAAAAATATCGTTACCGTACTATAAAACAACCGATTTTGTTCACAAGATAGGAAACAGAGACTGTTCTATCTTTAAAGTGCGGCACTAGAATTTTTAGAATCGACCTATCTCTGCTTGGAAAAAAATTGGAAAACATTCCCTTACAGCAAATGCGAAAGATGTGCAACCCAAGACCAGCAGGAATTAGGGTCTACTGTACTGGCTATATACGTTGCAACCCCAACGGTAAGTCGACCATCACTTAACGAGGCAAATCCTACGGAAAAGATAGCAATAAAGCAAATGTTAAAGATGAATAACCTTTTCTCCGTTTTGAAAGAGATCAGCCAAGCTGCGGTTTACTTAGGAAACTCGCCACGCTTAGAATTACTTCGTAGTAAACGTTTGTGTGCTATTTGATGACATCACGCTTCTGTGTGCTAAAAAGACGCCCAAGTGTTTTTGTTATTCCGTTCTCGGCTAATAGCAATCCATCATGGTTACCATGTCCCTCACACACTCCTAACATTCATAATGGCGCATATGACCAAAATAAAATTGAGCTTCACAGAAGAAAATTATTAAACGATTGTTCGCACGAGGCTTATTGTTTTTCACGTGAAGGTTTAAAAAAGCATCGGTTGCAACCACTGAGCTAGTTAAGATATAAAATTTCATGCAGATTGTTTATTTGTCAAAGGTTTCTAGACACCTTGATTATGTCGAGTAAATGAAGTATCACAAGGTAAATTATGTGAAGTACAAACCGTCTAAAAACAACGTCAAACCATAAAAAAACTAATCACGCTGAGCAAAACACATCTGTAAATTTCCAATAAAATTTAAAAAAAATGTGTTTTTTTTATTACCCTATGCCTCGGTCATAAAAACTGCGGGGTTGACACAAGTGTCGAACTGCAGGCAAATAACATCGCGTATCTCTGTACCTTCGCCAACATTAAAACAAATATTAGCTAAAATCCTGATATTTAAATAAAGCCCCAGCCATCGTGCATATTTGTGTCTAACAGCGCCAACCAAAATACGCCCTAACGTATGAAAAGGGTTCCCTAGTCATTTTTTTTACTTGTTTAAATTCTTTTGATTTTTACTCGAATGCAGAGTAACCGCAAAGCTCAATGCACCAACAGCTTTCGCAAATTCGCAGGTCACGTGAAAGCTTCTTTTTTTAGGGGCGAAGCTCCTTAGGGTCTAGCCTTGTCCGTCCGTCCGTCCGTCCGTCTGTCCGGCCGGCCGGCCGGCCGGCGTCCGTACTCACATAAATAGAAGAAAATGTTTGCGCAGTCGACAGGATTCGAACCTGTGCGGGGAGACACAAATGGATTTCTGGTCCATCGCCTTAACCACTCGGCCACGACTGCGGGACGAGTAGGGGTCTCTGAGATGCGGTAGTAACTCAAAAGCTGGGGTGTCTGTCACGGATGAAACGTTGCATGTAGCCGCTCAACGTCTATACAGGACAGGGCGCTGCGGTCAAATGCGTATATAATCGTGTTAAACTTTGCATGCATTGGCTCAACATATAGACGAGAGGGCGCTGCGGTCAAATGCTCAAGTGCGTATATAACCACGTTCCATACCACACATTCTCTCTCTGACATGGACTGTTGATGCGTTTCCACGGCTTCTAGCGGATCCGAGCTGATCCGCTAGAAGAAGCACTAGCTCTGCATTTCACCGACCATAAAGCACTAATAATGAAGCCGAAACGCTACCCGGAACTCAGTACTACCTATGAGCGATAAAAAAAAAAATCAGCACCATCAGCACTACCTATGAACAATAAAATCAGTATCATCAGCACCACCAGAGCTTCGCCCAATCAACATCATTCACCACGTGGGGATGCGGTCATTTTTTTTCTATTCGTCACTCGCTTTTGATTCTCTCCTAAGAGTGATGGACATGGTACAAGTAAACT